GGATTTGGGCTCTGAAGCCCACGCTCTTTTCTTTTTCAAATTTCTCACCCGAGGATACTTTTCTATTTATCATCCGACAGAGTGGGAGGAGGAGGGAGGGAGGGAGAGAGAAACATCAGTGTGATAGAGCCACATCAACTGGTTGCTTCCTGCACAACCCGACCAGAGCAGAGGACGAACTGCAACCGAGGTACATGCCCTTGACCAGAATCAAACCTGCGACTCATTTCTGCGGGTCAACGTGGAGCCTACACTCTTCCCTGCTGGGCTGTCCTGCTCTTGTGCCCGTGGGCAGAGGGGCATGGCCAGCCCGGTGGACTGCGTTGAGCCCCCACTCCCCTCCCCGCCACATCCTTACTCTTCCCCGGAAATGTGTGCGACCCCCCACCCCTGCCCAGTGATGAGTGTTGATGTGTCAGAGGCACTTTATAGTTTGCAAAGCACTTTCTCTCCCATTGCTCACTGGACTCAGTAATCTTTTTTTCAATAAAAAAATAAAATAAAATTTGAATTTTATTTGATGTGGCTCAAAAATGAAAACGCATAAAGCCAAAACACACAAACATGCTGAGTGAAAGAAGCCAGTCACAAAAGACCACATATTGTGTGATTCCATTCCTAAGAAATGTCCAGAAGAGATGGCCCTTCCCTAGAGACAGAAAGTTGATTAGTGGTTGCCTAGAGCTGGGGTTCGGGGGGAGATGCAGAGTGTCTGTTAAGGGGTATGGGTGTTTGGGGACGATGAAAATGTTCTAAAATTAATTGTGGTGTTGGTTGCACAATCTATGACTTCTAAAAACCACTGAATTGTATACTTCAAAGGAGTACTTGTATAGTGTGTGAATTATGTCTGACAAAGGTGTAGGGGAAATGGCAGCACACAGCATAGTATCCAGTGAGATGTCCTCCCTGGTTCTCATTTTATTTTCACTGTTTCTTCATGTAGCTACAGCCAAGCATAGATAACATATTGCCCCACCTTTTCTTTTTCTTCTGTTTTTACTGAAAGGAGAACATAGGCTACATAGTGTTCTGTACTTTGCTTTTTCACTTCCTGTATCTTTGAGATTTGTCCACTTCTGCACAGAGAAAGCTTCCTCATTCTTTCTCCAGTGTGTTCCAGTTTGTGGATGGGCCTGTCTTTATTTATCCAGTCCCCAGAATGATGGACATTTGGGTTGTTTCCAAGCTTTTGCTATTACTAACAGCCTAGGCGGACAGCCTGGTCCAGCCTTGTATTGCACCGGGCAAGGGTGACCTCCAAAGAGGGAGATGGGTGGTGCCCAATTGCCCGTGCAAGGATATAGGGGTTCACGCCTGGACCACCTGGGGAGGAGTGCCCGCAGCCCCGCACACACACGTGTGTTGTCCTGTGGTGGGGCTTTTGCCAAATGAAAGTGAAAAGTGGTCTTTCAGGAGCATTTTAATTTGTATTTTTTTTTTTTATAAGGCGGTAGAGCATCTTTTTATATGAGTGGACCATTTTTATTTTAATGATTTCTTTCTCTGTGGAGTGTCTTTCAAATCTGTCACCCTATTTGCTATTGAGTCTTTGGTCTTCTCCCTACTGAGTTCTAGGAGCTGGTTATACTGTATTAGCGATGTAATATTGGTTCTTTGCCACTGAGGAGGGTTACAAGTATGTGTTTCTTAGGACTTTGTTTCTGGTGTTTTCGCCATGGAGAAGTGATTCCCTTTTTGGAGGTGAGGAAGGCATTTTTTTTTTAATGGATTCTGGATTTAAGTCAGGGTAAAAAGCCTTGCCTACTTCAAAGTTAAAAAGATAATTCTCCTGTCCTGCCCGCGTAGCTCAGTTGGTTGAGCATCTTCCCATGCACCAAAAGGTTATGGGTTCGATTCCTGGTCAGGGCGTATGGGTGGCAACCAATCGATGTTTCGCTCTCACATCAGTGTTTCTCCATCTCTCTTTTAAAAAAAAATCATGACCCAGCAGGTGTGGCTCAGTGGTTGAGCATCAACCCATGCACCAAGAGGTCCCCGGTTTGATTCGTGGTCAGAGCACTTGCCCAGGTTGTGGGCCTGATCCCCAGTGTGGGCATGCAGGAGGTGGCCAATTGATGTTTTCTCTCATCGATGTTTCTATCTCTCTCTCCCTTTCACTTCCTCTCTCTCTAAAATCAATAATGGGGAAAAAATATGTGCATAGTGTCAGGCACCCCAGCAGCCACTCAGCTGGGACCTGCCTATCACCTTGTGAAGACCCCTGGCACCTCACTCTGCCCTGTCCTCTGCTTTCCCCTCACAGAGGTAACCACTACTAACATTTTTTTTTTAAATCTTCACCTGAGGATACCTTTCTGTTTATCTTCAGATAGAGTGGGAGGGGGAGAGAGAAAGGAAAAAAAACATCAGTGTGAAAAACATTGATTGGCTGCCTCCTGCATGCCCCCTACTGGGGAATCGAGCCCACAACCAAGGCTTTTGCCCTGACTGGAAATCGAACTGAGACCTCTCAGTCCATGGGACGATGCTCAATCCACTGAGCCACGCTGGCCGGGCTCTTCCTTTCTCTTTAAAAAAAATTGAGGTGAAAAGTAACCTTATTATTTTTTAATCATCACCCAAGGATATATTTATTGATTTTTACAGAGGAGGCCTGGGGAGAGAGAAGAGAGAAGTAAGTTACATTGATCTGTTGCCTCCTATATGCACCCTACTAGGGATTGAGCCCCAAACCTTTTAGTGTATGGGACAATGCTCCAACCAACTGAGCCAGCCAGCCAGGGCAAAAGGGACGTTTCTAAAAAAATTACTGTTGCCCTGTCCGGTTTGGCTCAGCGGTTGAAGTGTTGGCTCGAGGACCAAAGAGTCTTGGGTTTGATTGCGGACAAGACCACATACCTCAGTTGTAGTTAGGTCTCTGGCCCTGGTCAGGGTCGTGTGGGAGGCGACCAATCAATGTGTCTCTCTCACATCGATGTTTCTCTCTCTTTCTCTCCCCCACTCTGTCTGAAGATAAATGGAAAAAAGTATCCTCAGTTGAGGATTTAAAATTTTTAAAAAAATTATTATTAATCCTTACCTGAGGATATTTTTTTCTTTGTTTTTAGAAGGATTGGAAGGGGGAGAGAGAAACATCAGTGTGAGAGAAATTGTTTGGTTGCCTCCCACATGAGCCTCCACCAGGGCCGGGATTGAACCTGTGACCCTTGGGTCTGCAGGCCTACACTCTAACCACACCAGCCAGGGCCCAAAAGTAACTTTTTTTTTTTATCCTCACCCGAGGATATTTTTCCATTTATCTTTAGACAGATTAGGAGAGAGGGAGAGAGAAACATCGATGCGAGAGAGACATCAACTGGTTGCCTCCTGCGTGACCCACACGGCCCCAACCAGGGCTGGGGATGAACTGCAACCGAGGTAAGTGCCCTTGGCCGGAATCAAACCTAGGTCTCATTGGTCCGCAGGCCAATGCTCTAACCGCTGAGCCAAACCAGCCAGGGCAAAAAGTAACCATTTTTAAGGTACACAATTCAGTGGCACTTGGTACATTCCCTGTGTTGTGCGGCCAGCATCCAACTCCCCCGGTCTCAGTACATTTTTATCACCCTAAAGAAAACCCCGTACTTATTAAACAGATGTGCTCCCTATTTACCCCTTCCCCCAGCCTCTGAAATCCACCAATCTATTTCGTTTCTCTGTGGATTTACCTATTCTAGGTATTTCGTATAATGGAACCAGACAATATTTTGTCCTTTTATGTCTGGCTTATTTTCTTAACATAATGTTTTTAAGGGTCATTGATGTTGTGGCATGTATTAGTACATCATTCCTTTTTATGGCTGAGTAATATTCCACTGCGTGGATAGACACATTTTTTTTGGTGAACAGGACAACCAACTGAGCCACTGGGCCAGGGTTGACACATTGTTTCATTCTCACATCCGTTGGTGGACATCTGGCTTGTCGATGCCTTTTGGCTCTTGTGAATGGTGCTGCTCCTTGTTCCCTCGCACTCAGTGTTAAGATGCTGCCTGCAGCCGTCGTCCACTCCTTGTCACTGCCCTGTGGCGTTCCTCTGTGTGACTGCATCGCCATTCAGCCCTTTTCCTGCCATTGGACATTTGGGTCGTCGTTGCTGTGTTTATTCTTGTCATGTCCTCGTGGTGCTCACGTTTCTGAAGAGCATGCCCTTGGGAGCTGGCTTGCTTGGTCATGTATGTTTGACTTAGATAAAGGCCATCCTGGTTTCTAACGTCGCTGTGCCGACCTATACCCTGCCCCCTTTTCTAACACAAACTTTTGGTCCACTGGGGATTTCTCCTGGTGTGTGATGCGAACTGTGGTGACTTTCTTCAGAAGGCCAGTTATTGCCAGGACACTAACTGCACAGCCCCATCCTTCCCCCTGGTTTGAGGTGCCAGCTTTATCCTCTCCTGAATTCTTCCAGTGGTTGTGCCCTCTAGACTTCCCGTCTTGTCTGTTCGTGTGCTAAGCCCACACTGTTTTAGTTACAGCCCCTAAGGCCATGCCTGGCCTGAGAAGGAGGTGGCCTTTCAGCCTAGCCCCCAGCCTTGCGACTCAGCCCACCCATTATTACAGCTAGGGAAACTGAGGCGAGGTGCAGCTTGGCTTTTCTGAGACCGAGCCTAGCCCCACCCCATTCTCTCCTCTGCAGCCGATACCCCACTGGCCTCACCTCCCCCGGCTCAGTGGCCCCCACCCTCCAGGATAAGGTTCTCCTTATGTGGTCTGTGCGCCGCCTGTGGTCTCTGAATTGTCCTTCATTCCTCACTTCCTTCCCTTTGCGTGGGCTGCATCTATGCTCTCCCCTCCCCCCGAAGCTGGGTCGGGTGCCCCTCTATGCCCCACAGCTCCCTCCGCATCCCTCAGATGCAGTGCTGAGCCCTCTGCCGCCTTTCCAGCCTTTTCCAAGGGCACCGAGCCAGCTGCTCGGGTACAGGCACGAGTTGGTACTGGCTGAAAGCTGCCTGCCCAGCCCGGGGGGACTCTGACCCTTTCTTCCCCACCCCCGGCAGGTGCCAACATCGCTTCTGGTGAAGAAGTTGCCATCAAGCTGGAATGTGTGAAGACAAAACACCCCCAGCTGCACATCGAGAGCAAGTTCTACAAGATGATGCAGGGAGGAGGTGAGGGCCGGGCTGCCGGGGGGTAGGCCGGGGTGACACGGTTCGGGATGAGGCTGGAGACTGGTCTGGGGCCGGGAAGGACCTGCCTTGACAGCCCTGCTTCCCGGCCCACAGTGGGAATTCCGTCCATCAAGTGGTGCGGGGCCGAGGGTGACTACAATGTGATGGTCATGGAGCTGTTGGGGCCCAGCCTTGAGGACCTCTTCAACTTCTGCTCCCGCAAGTTCAGCCTCAAGACAGTGCTGCTTCTGGCCGACCAGATGGTGAGTTCCCCATCGCCCACCCCAGCTGGGTAGCCCCGCCCTGCCAGGCTTGTTTTCCTTCCAGCCTCTGCTTCCTTGTTGTGCCAGTGGTCACAGGGCATCGGCCCTACCTCCTGCTTCCAGAGGATGCTGGAGCAGGAGGCAGTAATGGGGACATAGGACAGGCTTGGTTCCTGGACCAGGGGCCTTAACCATTGGCTGTAAAATGGGCCTGCGGGTGGGAGGGTTCAACGTAGATCCCCAGGCTCACCTTCAGGCCTGCTGTGTTGGGCTCCAGAGTAGGGCATGGGACTGCCCTGAGGTGGTTTAAAGCCTGTGATCACACAGATCTAGGTCCTGTCCCAGTGTGGTGACTGTAGGTGAGCTAAGCCTTTCCAAGCCTCAGTCTCCTCAGGCGAGAATCTCCCCTTTGCTGGGTTGTCATGGGGGTCAGGGGGACACCACACAGTGCCACGAACAGAGCAGGCGCCCACTGACCAGCAGTCCTTAGTTCCTAAAGCCCTTTATAAACTCGAGGGAGGGAAACTTTTTAGAACTCTTTTTATTTTAATATGTTTATATTTATTTTAGAGAGAGGAAGGGAGTGGAGGGAGAGAAACATTGATGAGAGGGAGACATCAACATCGATTGGCTGCCTCCTGCGTGCCTCCCTGCTGGGGATTGAACCCTCAACCCAGGCATGTGCCCTGACCAGGAATCAAACTGGGACCTCTCAGTCCATGGGACATCGCTCTATCCACTGAGCCCCACTGGCTGGGCAGGGAGGGAACCTTCTTTAAAACGTAGAAGCATAGACTTTTGGACCTGAAATGGTATGTGGAAATCTTGTTATACTGGGGCATGGGCCGGTGGCGGCCTGCAGAAAGTCTACCAGCATCCTGTGATTTTTGGCTAAATGTGTGTGTGCCGAGGAGGGTGGTCAGGCTTTCTTAGGATGTGAGACCCAGGAAAGGTCTAGGAAACAGCCACGCCAAAGGAAGCCTTTGAGCTACTGAAGACAGGCCCAGAAGGGACTGACCTGCCAAAGGACATGTCGTGTGCATATATGTTCACGTAGGGGGTTACACATTGTTTAAAGAAGGACCTGTGTGTCTGCCTGACTTTGGTGGACTGTGGAAGCCAGGGGACAAATCCTGCCTTGAGCTTCATCGCTGTCACCCTTGCCAAGTTTAGGCTTTATTGGTGTTCCCTCTCGTCTTCTCCCCTTTCATCTTATTGCTTGAACCACCTTCAAGATGCCTCTGACTTCGGCTCCCCAAGTCCTGTGATGGTGTACAGCCAGGCAGGGAGGCTTCTGTAGGGGCCCGGATACCTTTCCGGGCTTCGTTTCTAGATCTTGCCAGTAGCTTTCCTACTACCTTACTCTATTTTCTGACTCATAGCAAACGTGGTGAACTCCTCCTCCAGAGTTCCTCTCTAATGGCACTTCCTCCAGGAAGCCTTCCCTGACCTGCCCCTAGTCATCTTACATGGTAGCAGACATCTTTTTTCCCCACCCAGGTCAGGGACCACCTATATTTTCTCCAACGTGGCAGCCCCAGCCCACAGCACTTAGTGAAGGCCCTTCTGTGGAGTGCTTGCTGAGTGATTACTGTCCCCTCTCCTCCCCCAGATCAGCCGCATTGAGTACATCCACTCCAAGAACTTCATACACCGGGACGTCAAGCCCGACAACTTCCTCATGGGGCTAGGGAAGAAGGGCAACCTGGTGTACATCATTGATTTCGGCCTGGCCAAGAAGTACCGGGATGCCCGCACCCACCAGCACATCCCATACCGGGAAAACAAGAACTTGACTGGCACCGCCCGCTATGCCTCCATCAACACCCACCTGGGCATCGGTGAGTGAGCGAGGCCCGGGGGCAGAGTGCACCCATGAGCTGCTGGCCAGGATCCTGGCTTTCTGCAGCCTGAATATTCCCCCGACTTGCCACAGTCAGGTCTTCCCCTTCCTAAGAAGAGCCGAGGTGTGCCGAGTGCATTCATGTGCCTGACTGCACCCCACGGTTGTTTTTTTTTACCCTCACCTGAGGATATTTTTCTATTTATCTTCACATAGAATGGAAGGGAGGGAGGAAGAGAGAGGGAGAGAGAGAGAAACATTGACGTGAGAGGGACACATCAATTGGTTGCCACCCACACGACCCCAACTGGGGCCGGGGATGAACCGCAATTGAGGTACGTGCCCTTGGCCGGAATTGAACCTGGGACTCACTGGTCCACAGGCCGACACTCTAACCACTGAGCAAAACTAGTCAGGGCCACTCCACAGTTTTTACAGGGTGGAAGCGAAGACTCACAGGTCACACAGGCTGCTAAAGTTGGTGCAGCTTAGCAGGTGCCAAAGCCCGATTTGACCCCAGCTGTGTCTAATGCTACAGCTTGTGCCCTGTCCACAGGTGGGCCAGGCAAGGAGGCATTGGGGTGCCAGTGACTTAGTTGTCAAAGGGATGAGTGCCTGCACTGGAAAAACCAGGCCCAGGCTGGGATGAGGAAGCTCAGCTCCTCCTCTGGAGGAGGAGGAATGGACAGCCTGTTTGTAATGGTCGCAGCAAGCCAGCATGTGGGGGATGGGGTGGGATGGGGTGCTGGTACATAGGGCAGGCTGTTCCCCCTCAGTCAAGGAGCATGTTTTGGAGTAGGGGTCCTGGCCCGCATCGACCAGGAGCCCAGATGAACCCGGCCCCCACCTTGTCCCTCGGTGCAGAACAGAGCCGCCGAGACGACCTGGAGAGTCTGGGCTACGTGCTCATGTACTTCAACCTGGGCTCCCTGCCCTGGCAGGGCCTCAAAGCAGCCACCAAGCGCCAGAAGTACGAGCGGATCAGCGAGAAGAAGATGTCGACACCCATTGAGGTCCTCTGCAAAGGCTACCCCTGTAAGTAGCCCAGTGGGGAGGTGATGAGCCTCAGGCCCTTTCCGCGGGGAAGATGAGGCCGCGGAGAGTCCCGCTGGCTACCTTTGCCCCGACACCAGAACATGAACGACAAGCTCCCTGTCGCTGCCCGGGCATGGTGGGAGACCTGACTGGACACTCAGCATTCCCCGACCCGCTCTCCTGCCGCGTCTCCCAGGGTCTGAGTGTTAGGGAGCAGTCCTTCCTTCCTGCTGCTGCGTCACCCTCTCACCGAACACTCCACTCCTGACACTTTCGGTCACCAACTGTGTGGGTCTCCCTCCCGACCAAGCAGTTCTCTGTGACACCAGCTGGGTGTCCTGTCATTTAACTCAGTTCTGACTCTGTCCACCTGGAGATGGTGTCAGATCCCACCGGTGAAGGCTCGGTCCCACAGGCCTGTTCCACTGCACTTCTGATGCCGGTCACGAGTCCGCCTGTGCTTCGGACTCAGGTTCCCTGACTCCCTCCCTGAGTTTGACGAACTTGCCAGAGCGGCTCACAGAGCTCAGGGAAACACACTTTGCAGTTTATGAAACGGTATGATGAAGGCTGCTGATGGACAGCCAGGTGATGCGATGCACAGGGCGAGGTCCGGGATGCAGGAGCCTTTGTCCCCGTGGACTTGGGGTGTGTCGCCCTCCTGGAATGGATATGTTCACCCCCCTGGAAGGTCTCCACACCCAACGGAGGCTTTATCATGCAGGCACGATCAATTATTAACTCCACTTCTAGCCCCTGTCCCTTCTCTGGAGAAGTTGGGGGTGGGGTGGGGCTGAAAATTCCAAGCTTCTAATCGTGGCTTGTCTTTCTGGTGACCGGCCCCCCACCAGGAGCCCACCCAGAGTCAGCTTATTAGATTAAGAGATGCTCCCAGGGCTCTTACCACTTAACATTCATAAGGTTTCAGGAGCCCTGTGTCAGGAGTGGGGTCAGGGACCAAATGTTAGAACAAGGGATGCTCTCACCTCTTAGGAAATAACAAGGGTGTGAGGAGCCCTGTGCCAGGAGCCGGAGGCAGGGACCGTATGCTTTCTGTCCTCTTGCAGAGGCCCCCTCTCAGCCCTGATCTTCAGAGGAAGAAATGGAAGTCTTCCTCCCGTGGCTTAGGTCATGTTGAGAGTCCCCATTGGGCTCTTCACTGTCCCTGGAGTTTATGACAGCCCTTGATCTGCCGTCTCCACACCCCCGAGTGCCCGACGGGAGCAGGGGCAGAGCTGGGACCAGGTCCTGCAGCACCAGCTTTCTGAGGGGTGCTCACGCATTGTGCACAGGCCTGTCCTCGTCCTCAGAGGCTCTGTTCTCAGGCAGGTTCGGGCTTCACCACCCATCGGGAGGACCATAGTCCTGTTCTGTCTTCTCGTCCCCTCCTAGATGGAAAAGTGGGTGGGTAGGACAGCTGCCGGCTGCTGGGGGCCCTGGGAGCATGGGTCTCACAGTGGCCCCTTCTGTCTCTATAACCCCACCAGCTGAGTTCTCAACATACCTCAACTTCTGCCGCTCCCTGCGGTTCGATGACAAGCCCGACTACTCCTACCTGCGCCAGCTCTTCCGCAACCTCTTCCACCGGCAGGGCTTCTCCTACGACTATGTCTTCGACTGGAACATGCTCAAATTCGTGAGTCACCCGGAGGCCGAGGCGGGCGTGGGGAGCTGCACAGGGAAGGCCCTGACTCAGAAGGCCAAAGTGACCCTGTGGTGGGCGGGGCTCCCAAAACACAGGAGCTATGAGCTGAACTGTGCGAGTGACTTCACTGGCATCCCAGAGCCCCCTCAGTCCCTCCACTCCTGTCTCATCAGTGTGGACAGCATGTACTGCTGTGGTCAGCAGGGCCCAGGCAGGGCATTGCCTCCCACAAGGCCCAGGAGGACCTGGCTGGGCCTCCAGTCCCTCCTAGGCACCTGCGGCCGGGCGTGGATGGCGCTGGCGGGCCCCCCCGCTGTGGTGATCGTGGCCTGCACCATCCTGCTCCTGTTGTTCTGCACGTCCCAGGTGGCCGCCTTCCCTGTAGCCCCTCTGGCCAGCCTGGACCCATTCAGTGTGGTTTCTTTCTTTCTGGCCACAGGACCCTGGGCCTTGCTAGGTGGTTGTTCTGTCTCCCTCTTTTAAGAGTGTTGGGGGGTGGGGGGGGAGCAGTCGTCAGCCACGCCTGGAGCTCTGGAGTCTGGAATCGTGAAAATGACTTGTTTCACATCTCTTCTGGGAAAGGGGGCTTCCTCTAGCCAGGCTCAGCCCCGTGACAGAGAAGCTATTGCACTGCCCTGTCCCCACCCCCGTCCCTGTGCTGGGCCCACGTGCTCGCCCACATACTGGTAAGGACCCTCCGAGGCCTGGCCTCCAGGATTTACCACTTGATGGGGTGAGCACAAGGGGCTGAGCCTCTGCTGTGCTTTCTCTGTCCCTTCCAGGTGCCCGGCGCCCCTGGGCACCCAGCGCCCTCCAGATGGGCTGGTGGAGGAGGTGGAGGAGCTGCCCCCCCAAAACTACTGGCCTATGGTCTGGACTCCAGGGCCCCAGTTCTGACACCAGGTGTGCCTGAGCCCATCAGGGCCAGGCCTGAGGAGGTGTCCCTTTGCGTGGTGGGGGTCAGTGGAGAGGGCATGGCGGAGAAGACCCTGCCAAGAGATTCTTGGGGGTGAATCAGCTTCCTGATGGACAGCCTGAAGGAGGGATGATGTTCACTGCCCTGGAAGGGCCTGGGTTTGGGCACCAGGAACAGCCTCAGCCAAACCCCATCAGCAGCCTCTGTATCGAACTTGAACTCATTAAACCCCCACCTGTACCGCGCTTCATTCTAGTGGCCTCTCCTTTCATCACAGCGCGCTCGGCTGCTCTGCGGGTGCTCAGGACAGGCCCCGTTCTGGAGGCGGGGCAGCCCGTGGTCTGGTCCCTCTTCTCTGTCCTCAGACAGCGGCCTGGTACTGTTCCCTAAGGAGTGGGGCAGAGGTTGGGCAGAGAACGGGGTGTCCAAGGGACCCCCAGGGAAAGGGTGGGCGATGGGCAGCGGGGCACCTTTCACCCAGACCTTCCAGCCAGGAGTGCGACCAAGGTCTCATCACAAAGCATCGCTCAGGGAGTTTGGGTGCAGGACGCTCACTTACGGTTAGAATCGGTCCAGAGTCTGGGTGTGCGACGGGCTTGGCCCTTCTCTCAAGACAGCTCCAAAAATGGGTTTTGCATTGGCATTCAGTAAGGCAGCCACTGACTACATGTAGCTAAATTTTATTTGATTAAAATTAATTAGAGCTGAAAATGTCACTTGTCAGTCGCATGTGCCACATTGGACGTTCTCAGGAGCCACCATTGGCTGGCTAGTGGCTATCATAGCTGGTAAGGCAGATGTGAACACGCCTATCGTCACAGAAAGTTCCGTGGGACGGTGTCACTCTAAATGGCTTCTCACAGAGCCTCTCATGGGACCATCCCCCCGACAAGACTGTTTCAAGTCTGGCCAGGAGCACTCTCCCCGCCCACCGCTGGCACTCTGGCCCTTCCCGGGGCCTCTCGAAGCACTGTGAGTCCCGCCGAGCAGAGGTGCCGACAGCTCACCCCGCACTGGTCTCCGACTTGAAGGCCGTCTGACTGGATGAGCGGGCGCCTTGAAACCCATCACCTGTGGTGAGCTCGACCACCTCCAGTCACCCTCTCGCAGAAGCATCTGCAGACATTGATGGGGACCTAACACATCTCTCACCCGAAGCCAGACCCTCCCACAGCAGCCCCGAGGGAAGCTGTCGCCAGCACCTACCAGCAGACCGGACAACGTGCTGGCACAGTGGGCTCAACTCTTCTGCAGCAAGATCCGCCTTGACTGAGAGCTTCCCTCCTCGGAGCAGCCTCCCCAGAGCGTTCGGTCTCAGGGCCTAGACTCTCCAGGCGCCTGGACCTAGGAGGCTGCTTTCAGCCACTGTTCCGAGGTCCGACCAGCTGACCAGGAAGAACACAGCCAAGGACAGGCCCACACCGCACGGGCAGCAACTGTGATATTTACCTTGAGTTTTCTTGTGGGCAAATAAAAGCCGAGACCACCCTGGTATGCGTTTCTTGGGGCGTCACTTGGGGTGGATGGAAATGTGGAGAGTAGCTCACCTTCTGCCCTGGCTCACCTTCTGCCCTGGGCTGGCCTGAGCCCTCTGGGTCACGGAGGGCAGGGCTGTGCGAATCATGTATCCCCACCCAGGGAATGAGTTCTTACTGCCAGCAGGAGGGTTCACGAGTGGGTGCTGCAGCTCTTATCTCAGGCTTTGCTGGGGGTCTGGCTGAGCTGCTCTCTGCCGGCCTGAGTGGCTGGGGGTGCAGGGCTTGGACTGGAGGTCAGGAGGTGGAGCCTTGGCGGTTCCGGGCTGGCCTGCCTGGACAGGCTGGCAGGTGGGAGGACTGGGGATGTTCGTTTCTGGAGTGTTCTGCTGTCTTCTGGGGGTACTGAGAGCAGAGCAGGACTTGGTGGCCAGGGGCCTGAATTCACATTTCAGTTCTGCCCTGAGCTATGTGGCCCCAGGCAGATTATGAGGCCTCTCTGGGCCTTGGTTTCTCACTAAGATTCAGGGATCATTCCCATCCCCGAGCTACTATGTCCCAGAGTTGCTTAAAGGCAAGGGCCACCCCCTTTTCCCAAAGACAGTAGGGCCTTCTTGGCCAGTTCCCTGGGAGACACGGGGTTGCAAGAGCCTGCACCCCGTGGCCCGTGAGCAGGCCCCAACTCAGCCCACAGCTCTCTTCTCCACAGATGCGGCCCCCCTCACGCCAGCCCCCCGCCCTTCCCTGTGGACGACCCCAGGACCAACTAGGTAACGCGGCCAGACGCCGCTCCCGTGCCATGCTCCTCTCTCGGGCCTTTCCCCTTTCCTGCTGCGCTGGGATGCCAGCGGCTGGATGGCAGGGCCCCTGGGAGCCCACACACCCCCTTTGCCCCAGCCTGCCTGCTAGGTGTCTTTTCCTCCATGGGACTTCTAGCCCGTTTCTTCTCCAGCCCCCTGAGCGCCCACCCCAAGGCAGGCGGCATCTGTGTGGTGGTGGCCCCCACAGCGCCTGCCAGGAGCCATTGCCGGGGGCAGGGGCAGGGGCAGGGGGCAGACAGCCCTGCCTGGTTCAAGTCCTGGCCTGGCCTCTTTAGCCTTGTAACTCTCTTTGGGCCTTCACCCTGCGCTGCTGGGAAACCTGGAGGAGCCGAGGGCTGTCTGTACACAGAGGTTGGGAGGGCCAGCGAGTGCCCTTGGTCATCCTGAGGACACTGGCCCTCCCAGCCCTGAATGGCCCCATGAGACCCGGGCAGAGTGATCTCTCTCCACCTCTCACATCCAGCCTCCCCTGTCCTCTGGGCAGTTTGTGATTCTGTTTCTCTGTGCTGTGATCATGGTCATGTCCAGGCCTCTCGGGCCTCCTGCTCTGTGGGGAGGAGAGGAGGTTGGACCAGAGGGTTTCTGCAGTGCCTCTTCCCTAAGATGTCCACTGGGAAGCCCTTCCTGTATTCTGCCCTGCAGGGATGCTGGACCCCGCAGCGCCCTGACCTTGCAGTGCTGACCAGGTCTCGTCTTGCGTTCCCACAGGGTGCAGCCCGGAATCCCGAGGACGTGGACCGGGAGCGGCGAGAGCACGAGCGCGAGGAGAGGATGGGGCAGCTCCGGGGTTCGGCAACGCGGGCCCTGCCCCCAGGCCCTCCCACGGGAGCCACTGCCAACCGGCTCCGCAGTGCTGCCGAGCCTGTGGCTTCTACCCCAGCCTCCCGAATCCAGCAAGCTGGTGAGCGGGGACCTCCAGCAGTGGGCCAGGCCCAGGGGGTCCGGGGCAGCCAGGGCCCTGGACACTGAGGATGGCTTCCCCCTGCCTCACCCTCCAGGCAATACTTCTCCCAGAGCGATCTCGCGGGTCGACAGAGAGAGGAAGGTGAGCATGAGGCTACACAGGGGCGCTCCAGCCAACGTCTCGTCCTCCGACCTCACTGGGCGGCAAGAGGTCTCCCGGATCTCAGCCTCACAGGTGAGCGGCCCTCACTCCAGCACTTCTGTGCCCCCCGGAGACCCCCAGGCAGCGTCAGGCCTTGTGGTTCTGTTCTTCCCTGTCTGCCCATTCCAGTAACCGTGGAGCAGCCCTTCTTGTTGAGCAGGGGCTTGGCCTCATTTAATCCTCCAGCATCTGATTAACCCCATTGAGCAAAGTCAGAAGCAACTTGCCCCAGCAAGTGGAGAGCTGGGATCCAGCCCTCGCTGCCAGGGGCCCAGCTTGGGTGCGCAGCAGGGAGCTCGTGGGAGAGGGTCACAGTCCCTGCCATCAGGAAGCCCCTGCGAGTCCCAGTTAGCACAGGATAGAGGGCTAGGCAGATCCTGCCGATGGCCCCACTCAGGAGCCGTGTTTAGACTAGGAAAGTTGGGAAGGGGGAATCCTGGTTAACCAAGGAAGGTGTCCTGGCAGAGGTGGGCAGGAGACCGGCTCTGGTCCACAGTGGAGAGGTCTCAGCAGGTCAGGCCAGGAGCTGGGCTTCCAGAGGCCAGACTCGTTTTGTGAGTGGCCTGGAGCAGCTGCTTTGCCTCTGTGGGCAACGTTCTTATCTATAAAGCAGTCCCATCCTAGGGAGTCATTGAGATCACACACCCCTTCCCTTGGCTCTAGGGCCTTGGTGGGCGTGGGGAGCTCTGTAGTGGGGACAGACTTGCCACGTCGCCTGTGCTAGCAGCTTACCGCCTGCGCCATTCTCTGCCTTCCCTCCCAGACAAGCGTGCCATTTGACCACCTCGGGAAGTGAGGAGGAGCCACCTCAGACCAGTATTTGCTTAGGTGAGTTGATGTCTGCTGCAGACACAGCCCCACCAGCTCCAGAAACCCCTGTGGCCCTAGGAGATCAGTGTGTGTTGTGGAGGGGTTAGGGGAGTTGCAGATGGTACCAGGGAACCCAGAACCAAGGGCCTATAAGGGAGTGTAAAACCTCAGAGGCTGCCTGACTCAGTAGCGGCCTCCTCTAGGCAGGCCTGGCCCACGTCCAGTCATTTCTGCTGGAAACCCCTTCCTCTGTCCAGTCCTCTCCACCCCCTTTGCTTTAACATTTGGAGAGTTGGTTCCTAGCAGAGACTGAGCCTGAGGGCCCACGCCCATCCTGACCTCTCAGGCATTAGCGTTGTCTTAGCCTCTGGGCTGTTCAATTCTTAATTCATTAAAGCACTTAGAACAGGGCTGTGTACTTAGGAGTTTATCTGCCTTAACAAAGGCCCCTGGCCTCCACCAGCCCTGGAGTGAGCCTCATGGGTCTTCATGGCTGCATTTCCATGACTGCGTGAGGCCTTGAGGTGGTGGGTAGCTGCTCCC